CTGAGTGATGTTTGTAGTCTCTGGCCCCCTAGACTGCACTTGTCTGCGGTCTTCTTTCCCCTTTCCCCCAAATTACTAATGACTTTGCACTTGGGGGGATTGAACTCCGGAGCCATTTGTTTGGACCAGGCTGCAGCCTGCCCCAGATCCCTTTTTATTTCTGCCTGGCCCTTCCCGTTCGAATAAAATTCTTTCAAAAATTTCACGTCATTGCAAACGGGGGACACCCCCCGGAGTTTTTTTCCTTTCCCCGTAAAGTCTTTCACAAATACCAGAAACAGCACGGGCCCCTTGGGAAAAGACCCCTGGGGGCCCCCCGGGTCACGGGTCCCCACTCGACCCCCTCGCCACGTACCATTACTCGCGCTGTCTTCCTGCAAGTATTCTCTAAAACCATTCCATTCCCTTCCCTTTTAAACCCTGCTTTGGTCCTCCATTTTTTTTGCACAAAAACTCTTGTGGGGTTTTTACTGTGTCAAACCCTTTTTGGCAGTCCAAGAAAATGCAATCCCCCCCACCCCTCCCCTCTCTTGTTTACTGCGTCCCCATGTCATAGAACCCCGGGGTTTTGGGACACAGGATTTCCCGTCCTAAAACCCATTTTGGGCCCTGCGGGTGATGAATCATTCCTTTCTGGGATGTTCCACCTTTCCCTTCTCCTGACAATCTTTTCCTTTGTTTTTTCATGCTATACATGTCATTTGACACGGGTTTCTGTAGTTTAGTGCTTATGCTGTCCCCTTTTTTAAAAATTGGGACCACATTTGCTGTCTTCCATTCCCCCAGGCAATCTCCCTTTTTTCGTTTAGATGTATTAAATTTTTGTTTTTGGGGGTTTACACATAGTGCCCCCTGCTCCCTCTCCCCAAGGACCCATGGAGATATGTTATCCCCCCCAAGGGCCTTTTGAGGTATCTAGCCACTCAGAAGCCCTTCATTTCTTCCTCGGTTGTGTGTACTGTGTCCAAGCACATGGTGGTGTCCCCCCCTTTCTCCTTTTTTTCTGGGGGCCCCCTTCTGCCCTCATCTTTGAACACTTTTTTTAAAACCCCTTTTTGATTTCCCTCACAAACTTCACTGCCCATTTCTTGTTGTCTTTCCTCCTTCCTTCCTTACCCTGATTCCCTGGTCCTTGACAGTTTTTTCCCTTCCCTGATGTGGCTGTAAAACGGGTTCGGGCAGATTTGGTTTTTTGCGGGCTATGTCTTTTTCATATTGACGTTGGGCCTCCCTTCTTATCTGTGCATTTTTCCGTTTCTGGTCTCAAACGACGCTCTCCTTATTCTCCTGGGCCCTTTCCCTTCTATATTTCTTCCCCCCCTTTAGCACACGGGTTTTTTCCCCTCCTTGCATCTTTGGGTGAACCACGGGTCATCCTGGCTTTTATTTTTTCCCCTTTTTCCCCTTTGGGGTAAAAACCCCTCTCCTCAGTTTCCCTCGCAAAATTGTTCCCTACATTTTTCCATCCTCATTGAAAGGGGCTTCCCTGCCAGTTCTCTGTCCCACGGGAACCCTCATTCGGGAAAGTTCCTCATTCCTGTGTAGCCCCCCTTTCCCTGTGGTTTGCTTTCATTTGCCCTTTGGCCCTTCCCGGTTCCCCCTCCACTTGGGGCTCTACGTGTATTCGAAGCTCAAAAAACATGATCGCGGGCCCCAAGGGGGTCTTTCTTTTGAGATGTCCTCAATAACTGGGACTACTCAAGGTGAATACTAATCCAGTCTTGGGTTCAATTTCCTTTTTCCTCTCTCTCTTGTAGTGTCCCTTACGTGTTTGGTACAGAAGTTTTTCAGTACCCCCTCCTTTATCTTAGCCCTCCAGTTTCTTGGCCCCCTTTTGGGGTCCAAGTTTCCCTTCGTCTCCTTGTGGTTTAAAATCGCCCCATTCCGGAGCTTTTTCCCTGCATGCATAGCCCTTTTGGCCAAGCAGCCAGTGTTTTCAACCATCGCCTATTGCCCTCGGCATTTCTCTTTCCTTTGGCCCCCCTGGTGTTCTGTGGTGGGTTTTTTCATCACTGGGAATTATCACCTTGGGGCCTCCCGAATGAAAACGTTCCCGCCAAAGCAATCACTTTTCTTCTCCGCTGCCCCCCTCTCCCGCTCATCAAAATTCCCCTCCCTGTTTGAAACAGCAATTTCCCAAATCCTCCACCCCCCCCCCGTTCCTTCTGTCTTTCCCCAGGATCCGGGATCCAGTTGGAAAAAAATGGCATCTTTTTTTATAAACCTTAAGGGGTTGGTTTCGTTGATTGCTTTTGATGTTCTGGTGATGCTCTTTGAAATTTTTTGTGCCCCCTCCTCCCCCTTGGGTTTTTTATTCCATAGCGTTTGTGTACCATTTCCCTTTAGTTTTTCCCTTTCCAAAACTGTGGTTTGGGGGGGCCCGTTTTGGGGGGGGGAGACCTGGGAGAAAACTGTGGGGGGTTTTTAAAGGTTGGGGGTTGGGGGGAATCTGTGGGAAAAGGAAATTTTATTGTGGGGTTGGGAGGTGTGATGGTTTTTGGGCTTCGAGATAGTTGTGTGTGTGCTTGCCCTTGCTGCTTTTTGCTCTGAATGACCTTGCTGGGGTTCCCTCCTTGTCTTTCCTTTTTTCCCAGCTCCTTTTCGCTTTTTTTTTTTTCCTCCCTCAGCTGCTGCTCTTGTTTGTGTTCTGTCTCTGTCTAGGAAAACCCCTTTTTGTACTCTTCCCCAGCTTTTTCAACCGTGGTTTTTCTTGGAGGAAACCTTTTCTGCACTGTTTCTGTTTCCCGAGGGAAACAGTTGGTCGGTCGTTTTTTTTCCCCTTCAAGTACCCCCCCCTATTCTCTGAAAAAATTTGGGAAAACTCGTCCATGCTTCCCCCTATTTCCGTATGATTTTCCATCTCCTTTCTTTTTTCCTGCCGTCTTTCAGGTTTTGTCTTTTCCTCTCTCTCCCCAAAAACCCCTGGGGGAAACACGGGTTTTTCCCTTTTCCCCCTCCCCTTGCCTCTCCCCCTGGACTTGGTTTTTGTCTGTTTTGTGGTCATTTTTCCCTTTATTTTTTCCGTGGGGTCTTGGTAGCATTTTTGTGCCCAGGGATTCGACCTATTTTCCCTCTCCATCTGCACCCATCTGCTCTTCCCTTTCCCCCTTTCCCTGGCCCTTTTCCTTTCAGGGCTGATATGACCTTAGCATAATTCTTTTCCCTTCCTTCCTGTTAAGCCCCTCCCGGTTCGTATGGTGTGTCTTTTTTGGTCACTTAAAACCCCCGGGGATTGCCTTTTCAGCCCGTTTACCCAAATTTTTAGGACCTTTACCCTGGCTACTGCAAATTTCGACTTGTGCCCCCAATTCTTCGCCCCCCTTCTCCAACCTCTTTTTTCCCCCTTTCACAGAGAGGGTCTGTCTCCATTTTTTTCAGAAAGCCTCTCCCAATTTTTTTTTTTCTCCCCCTTCCCTTTTCCTTCCTTTTTTTTTCCCCCCTTTTTCCCCCTTTTTCCCCCCTTCCCAATTTCCCTTCCTTCCCCCTGCATTACCTTGTAATCTGATCCCTGATTTTGCGAGTTCCCCAAACCCTTTTTTTTTTTTGGTAAGAGAGAAAAAAAGAGAAAAAGAAAAAGGGGGGGGAAAAGTGAGAGGAGGGGGAAAGAGAGGAAGGGGAGGGTAAAAGGAAGAGGGGGAAAAAAAAAGGGAAAAGGGGGGGAAAAAAGTGAGAGAGAGGGAAAAAAGGTTTAAAAGGGGAGAGAGGGGGGGGAGGTTGGGGGGGGGCCCCAAAGGGGAAAAGAGAGGAGAGAGAGAGAGAGAGGGAAGAGGAGAAGAGAGAGGGGAGAGAGAGAGAGAGAGAGAAAGAAGAGGAAAAAGAGAGAGAGGGGTAAGAGAGGAATAGAGAGAGAGGGGAGAGGAAGAGAGAGAGGAAGAAGAGAGAGGGAAGGGGAGAGAAAAAAAAAGTGAGAGGAAGAGAGAGAGGGAAAAGAGAGAGGATGGAGAAAGGGGGAGAAGAGAAGAGAGAGAGAGAAAAGAGAGAAAAGAGAGAGGGGAGAAAAGAAGAGGGAGAGAGAGGAGATCCTTAACCTTTTCAAAAAAATTTTTTTTTAAAAAAAGAGAGAGAGAGAGAGAGAGGAGAGAGAGAGAAGAGAGAGAGAGATAAGGGGGAGAGGGGGAGAAGAAAGAGAGAGAGAGAGAGAGAGAAGGAAAAGAGAGAGT